GTTTATGTTTTAATTTTTTTGGTCATGAGGCATGTGGAATCTTGGTTCCCTGACCAGGGCTCAAACCCATACCCTCTGCATTGGAAGGTGAAGTCTTTTTTTTTTTTTTTTTAATTAATTTTTTTTTTATTGAAGGAAAACTGCTTTGCAGAATTTTGCTGTTTTCTGTCAAACCTCAGCATGAATCAGCCATAAAGTGAGTGAAGTCGCTCAGTCGTGTCCAGCTCTTTGTGACCCCATGGACTGCAGGCCACCAGGCTCCTCCGTCCATGGGATTTCCCAGGCAAGAGTACTGGAGTGGGTTGCTGGTTCCTTCTCCAGGAAGGTGAAGTCTTAACCACTGGACTGATCACCAGGGAACTCCCAGATGTGGCTCTTTAAATGCTCCTTGTTTCTTGTTTCTAACACCTCACTGTAGACTTGGGGCGAAGAGGCTTTTTTAGCCCTGCTCAGATGTATTTAATAGTTTGGTGGCAGGTGGGAAAAGATCCCTTTCTTCAGTGTTCCAAGATTTCTCTGATTCTGTGAGAAAGGATAAGAGCCTGGTGGTGGTCCTGCCTTGGTGTGTGTGAGGATAAAGAAGGTGATGAACTGTGCTGCCTGGCAGATGGTGTAGACCCTTCATCCTGTTAGCTGAATGCTTCTGTAGAAGAGACAGTAACCTGTGAAAGACAATAGGTAAGTAACAGTCCAAGAGAACAACACAGGGGTGGGTTTCTAGCCTTCATGCTCCCCCTGAGCTGGCTGGAACCTGCGGAAAGCTCTGATGCTTTCGCTAGGGTGTGAGTCAGGGACAGGGTGGTCACTCGGACTGGGCCGCGGGGACCTGGCAGCAGGGGTCACAGGGTGCCTCCCTGTCCTCCCTGTGTTCCCCCGCACTGTTCAGGGAACGAGTGAGCTGCAGGCTCTGGAATCCCAAAGCCTGTGATTGCATCTTCTTTATCTTTCTGTTATCTCTGTTCTATTTTGTTTTGGAGAAGGAAATGGCAACCCACTCCAGTATTCTTGCCTGGAGAATTCCATGGACAGAGGAGCATGGTGGGCTCCAGGTCATGGGGTCGCAAAGGGTCGGACATGACCGAAGCGACTTAGCACATACCGTCTTGTGCCTTGTTTTCTCATCTAAATACAGACACTTGATAGTGATGCCTATTTTATAAGGCGGTTATGAAGGTCAAGGTGACATGATGCGTGTAGCAGTGCATACTACAGTGGCTGGAGTCAAAAGTGCCCAATAAATGTTAGCCATAACAGAAAAAAAACATTGGATTTCTCATGAAAGCCACAGTCAGGGCTAAGCTCTGGGTTGTTGTCATTCAGTCACTGAGTTGTGTCCAACTCTTTACTGCAGCATGTCAGACTCCTGTGTCCTCCATTGTCTCCTGGACTTTGCTCAAATTCACATCCATTGAGTCGGTGATGCCATCCAACCATCCCATCCTCTGTCGCCCGCTTCTCCTTTAGCCCTCAATCTTTCCCAGCATCAGGGTCTTTTCCGGTGAGTAGGCTCTTTGCATCAGGTGGCCAAAGTATTGGAGCTTCAGCTTCCACATCAATCCTTCCAGTGAATATTCAAGGTTGATTTCCCTTAGGATTGGTTGGTTTGATTTCCTTGCAGTCCATGGGACTGTCAAGAGTCTTCAGCAGCACCACAATTCAAAAGTATCAATTCTTCAGTGCTCAGCCTTCTATGGGATACAGATGATGCTAATTATAATTATAGTGATAATAGCTAACATTTGTTCAGTGCTTCATTTGTGCCCAGCTTTATACATATTAACTCCTTAAGTCCTTTAACTTAAGCCAAGTGGTGGTAGGGACCCAGGATACCGAGACACATGATGTCAAGTAACAGCTCTGCCTTCACAGTCTAACAGAGGAAGTAAGTGAAAGTGTTAGTCGCTCAGTTGTGTCCGACTTTTTGCGACCCTATGGTCTGTAGCCCGTCAGGCTCCTCTGTCCATGGGAATTCTCCAGGCAAGAATACTGGAGTGGGTAGCCATTCCTTTCTCCAGAGGATCTTCCCGACCCAAGGATAGAACCCAGGTCTCCCACATTGCAGGCAGATTCTTTACAATCTGAGCCACCAGGGAAATCCCAATGGAGGAAGTAAGCTATAGTCAAATAGACGATTATGGCATAGAATTCTGGGCTTCCCTGCTAGCTCAGCTGGTAAAGAATCTGCCTGCAATGCTTAAGAGTCCGGTTCATCACCGGTTTGCTCTCCGGGCTACACATCGTCTGTTGTAATACCATGCCTCTTGAATGTGTATTTTTGAATGTGTAACCGGGTTATTTTTTGAAGCCAGTGTTCTCTACTTATCATAAAAGACTTCCTATTTTGAAAAACCCATTCTTTCTGTCCCTGAACTTGGCAAGAACCTTTTTCCTGCAGTGTCACTCAGGTGGCTGGTCACCATCATGGATGACTTAGGCTGGCATTATGAAAACTTCCTTTTTGTTATATAACGGAAGATGACCGAGAACATAGGCCCGTCCTTGACTGTGAGTTCCAAATGCCAGAGCCCAATAAATGTCAAAAGGTAGAAGCCCCACCCTGAAGCCCCTGCCTAAAGGGTCAGAGGGCAAGTCCTGCTGGGACCCTCATGCTTCTTCTGTGCCCACCCCAGCTCCGAAGAGACACACCACCATGCTTGTTGTTTGTGGTGGATGAAGTGGGAAGGGAGAACTTGCAGATGGGAATCGGTGTCTGCTTTTGGATCGAGGCAGTGTAGTTTGTGATATTTTGTCTCTTGTCAAGGTAACCTCTTTGCATGAAAAATACACTGTAGGATTTGGCCAGGCTGCCGGTATGCACTTATTGACCTATGGTATTTTGGGTCCACAACTGATAGGAGTCCCTGTGATGGGGATGAAAGTTGGGCATTGTGAAAGGCAGCCAAGGGCATTTCACTCTCACTGTGGAGTTGGACCTCGTACACACAGACATCCTCATGCACACCGGACAACACTTCCACATATATTTCAGTGTAGTGGGGGCACAGATTCATCAAAATGCAGAAACGTTTTATTTCTAATGAGGTCATAGAGTAATCGTAGTTGTGGAAAGGGAGGGAAGGGGGAGGGTTTCCACCTCCCCACCCCCAGCACTCCTTTCTGAAGTCTGAGGCCCTTAAGGCGTAAAGAACCACCTTGAGCTCCATGGTTCCCTACTTTGACTTGGGGAGCTTAGATCCCAGCTATTTTAGCATGAAATGGATGGGCTCCTAGATCAAAACCGTAAGGAGATCTAGTTGGAAGCTAACTTGGGAGCCCGGTGTAGCACTCTGATGTTGGTTACCAGAACAGAGCCTGTGGTTAGTCACTCTGGAGGGATCCCTGGGTTTCTTCTGACATCATCTTTAGTGGTGTTTGCATCTCCATGTAGGGAGGGCCAAGGTGACACCCTTTCTTCTAGAGTTTGACGTTTAGCTGCAGAAGTCAGCATTCAGAGGATGCTTAATGCTCTAAGATACACTTGCACAGTGGGAGATATGGAGGCTGACACGGTCCAAAAACATGGCAGTAAATATACCTAAAAGGAAATATAAGGTCAGATGACCTCTGAGGATAAAGGGAGGTAGCTCTGAGAGATTGGCTCTGGAGCATCACAAGGAACAGAGGTAACACATGAAACTGTTATGGACTAGAAGGAGCTCAACCCTTTGATATAACGAAGTCAGTGATTTGAGGGTTGTTGATAATTCTTAGTGCCCCAGTTCTCAGACTGAGACCTAAAGGTTGAAGGGGTAAACAAGAACACCAGTTTCCCCAAGTCTGCAGAAGAGAGATAGCCATGGTTGGAGAACTAGATGCCAAGACTGTCTTTGCTGTTTATACTATAGCGTTGTTGTTAGGAGCCCTTGGCTTAGGCTGGAAGAAAATACAGGGATTTTTATGAAACCAGTTAACAGAATCAGGAGGTGAGGATCCTTTGGGAGGGGAGATTGGATATGAAAATTCATGGGTTCAGGTAAAGAAGCTAGTACCAGAGTTTGAACCATCAGGGACATCTGTGTTTTTCTTAACATGGCTGTTGTTGTTGTTCAGTCACTAGGCCATATCTGTCTCCTTGTGACCCCACGGATGGCAGCTTACTCCTGTGTCCTGCACTGCCTCCTGAAGAGTTTGCTCTAACTCGTTTCCAGGGAGTCAGTGATGCTATCTGACCATCTTATCTTCTGTCACCCCCTTCTTTTGCCTCCAGTCTTTCCCAGGTTTCCTCACTGGGCACCTTTGGTCCATCCTTGAAAACATACATCCCCCCTACTCTCATGAAGACAGCTCCTCCCCTGCCCCTCCACACTCCACAGGAAGGCCTGGCTCCCAGACCTGACTCCCAGGTTTGGCTTCCAGAGGCCCATGCCCATCCCTCTGGCCTCATCTTGTGCTGTTCCTGCCGTCTGGGCTCTGTGTCCACTTGCTTTCTTCCGCTTAATCTGCCCCTCTCAGTCCTGCCTTAGGTCCCGCTCACCCCCGATCCGTCTACCTGGAAAACTGTCCCCGCTTCTCCACCCGCTGCCTCCAACCACTCTTTACTCTATGTCTGTCAATAGACTTCGGCTCAGGCATCCGCTTCTCAGAGACCATTTCCCTGTCCCCTCTGTATGAACTGGCCACTCAGTGATTCCCTGTCTCTGTCCCTCGGGTTGATTCTTGTAGAGGTGTCGCTTTTCAATACTCAGTTTTGCGTGTTCATCACTTGGTGGTGTGCCCATCTCTCTCTCTCCAAGAACATAAGCTTCATGAGAGCAGGGAAGGACCTTGTCTGTCTGGTCCACCATTTCCCAATGAGCAGAGCAGTGCAGATTCAGAGGGAGAGTGCTGAATATCTGTGGGATGGAGGGTTGAAGCTGCATCTCTCAGCCCAGCTGGACCCTGCGTTGATGCTGACCCCCAGCATCACTGTGGGTTGGGACCACCCTCAGTGCCTGTGCTGTGGGCTTTTTCACCCCTGCCCCTGTGGCCTGGGCTCTGACCCCTGGTCTGTTCCCTTGCAGCCGCCCATGCCAGCTTCCTTTCCCGTCCACGGCGCAGCAGCACAGCCCGGTGCCCTCGCAGAACTCCTCAGTCAGCGGGCCGCTGCACTCCGTGCCCCTGCCGCTCGCAGCTCCCATGGCCCTGGGGGCCGCGCCGCCCCCGCCCGCCGCCTCGCCCAGCCAGCAGCTTGGCCCGGACGCGTTCGCGATCGTGGAGCGAGCCCAGCAGATGGTGGAGATCCTCACGGAGGAGAACCGCGTGCTGCACCAGGAGCTGCAGGGTTACTATGACAACGCCGACAAGCTCCACAAGGTAGGGGGCTTCCCCGGGGACGGGGCGGGGGAAGGTTCTAGGTATTCCAGCTAGACGGATCGGATCGGGGGCGAGCGGGACCTAAGGCAGGACGGAGAGGAGCAGGTCAAGTGGGAGAAAGCAAGTGGACACAGAGCCCAGACAGCAGGAACAGCAGGAGATGAGGCCAGAGCGAAGGTTCTCTGAAAGGGACATGGTTCCTTAGGCTCAAGGGGGTTGATTCACTGACTCACTGGCCAGCGTTTAATTCCACACCTCTTTATGCCAGGCACCATGTAAGACTTTAGGAAGACAAAAATAAAAATGCCAGGGTGCCTCCCTTGGAGGAGCTTATCTTCCAAAAGAGGGAGAGTCACTCCTTCAGGTTTAATGGAGAAATCAAAAGCTTTCCCGACAAGCAAAAGTTAAGAGAATTCAGCACCCCCAAACCAGCTTTATAGCCAATGCTAAAGGAATTTCTCTAGGCAGGAAACAAGAGAAGAAAAGACCTAACTACAGAAAATAAACCCCAAACAATTAAAAAAACGGTAATAGGATAATACATATCGATAATTACCTTAAACGTAAATGGATTAAATGCACCAACCAAAAGATTTAGGCTGGCTGAGCAGATGAAAACCTGGGCATATATGTACTTCCACTTACCTCATCACTCTGCCTGATGCCCCCCTGCCAAATGGTAATTATTTTATATTGTTAGGTTAATCATGTTCCCATTATGGCTTGCAGTTGTAATCATCTTGTATTGATTGTGAAAACTGATAAACATCTTTTCCTATTGTGATTATGTAAAAAAAGCAGGGGTGGGGGGTGGAGTCACCCAAGCTAAACCTGCAGTAGAAGGTCAAGGGGCTACAGGAGAGACAGGAGAGGTGCCCCTGGACAGGGACTCAGCGGCTGAGCAGCATCTCCCCAAACGGACAGTGTGGGAGAGGGGACACCGAGAGGGTACGGAGCAGTAAGCTGAGAGAGGCAGGTTCTCCCTTTACATCTGGGATTTCATGCAGGAACCTGGTGATTGCCGTGCTGGTTTCATTAGCTGGTCTCTGCAAAAAAAGCAGTCATGCCTCAGCACCGAGGGCAGAGTGCGCGTTCCGGCATGCTCTCCTTCTGCTTGTGACTCAGCAGGTGGGGAGATGCTGCAGAATTCCAGCCCGTGTCTTTGTCATGGGAACGTTAGGACGCACAGCAGCCTTCACTCTTAGGGCTTTATGCCGAGAGCCAAAGTCAAGAGGGAGACATCTAGCGAGAGTGAACTGTCACAGGCAGTGATTTCACCATGACCCACCCGCCAGCACCTGAAAAGCTGCAGGTGGCAAGGCTGCAGGTGAGGGACAAAAGTCATAGGATGGTTTCAGGCAGCAGAGCCACGGGGCACCAGGGTTTCCTTTCTGGGGACAAAGCGGCCTGTGTGCTCTGTCCTGGGCAGGTCGAGCCTTTGCAGAGAGAAAAGGTGGGAATGTAAACGCCCCTGAGCACAGCAGCGTTGCCCTTTGGTTCCGTATGCCAGGGCTTGCTCCTGGCTGGCCCACCGGCTCATGGCTCAGTGTTGACCTCTCCGTAAAGCCTGGCCTTTCTGCTGGTCCGGGTGTCGGAGCCGCCAGCTCCTCTGATTCCCCCGAGGGCTGGCAGCCATCGGCTGGGTGCCGTGGGTGGGATGATGCAACCGTTCACAGACGGGACCTGTTCCAGCACATTTGTGTGGAGCTTCCGCGGCGAGGGTCTGGAGCTCCCCGAAGTCAAGACCAGGCTTGGCTCAGAGGGTCTGACCGCCTTTACTGGAGGCGACAGACGAGGGGCTGGGACCCGTGGGCTGCCCAAAGATGGCGGCCTCCGCCCTGGGCCAGTCATGCCTGAGCCCATGTGCGGGCTCCTGGCCTTGCCTGGAGGTCACGCTCAGGCCTTGGCTTGCCTCTCACGCCTCCCAGGGCAGCTTCTTTCCTGGTCCAGGCTGAAAATTGGGATGGGCCACCTCAGCACTTCCTGGGAAGCCAGTCAGTTGTTTTTTCTCTCTCTCTCTCTCTCTCTCTCTGAGAGCCCAGTGGCAGATGTTTCCAGGAGCCGTGCAGACTCTGCTGAGGGCCGAGTGTCATTCTCCCTCTTATCCATGAATATTTTTGAACAGTTACAGGGAAGATGCAGAAACTGGGAGTTCTTGTTATTCTTCATTGACTTTTTAAAAATTCAAACGTATTTTTATTGGCCTGTAACACACATCTCTTGATGTCGATAACCATTTCTGTTTTTGAAAACCAAAATCAGCCTCCCAGGGACTCAATTTCCCTGCACAGGTATGATCCTTAAGTTTCGCGGCCAAAAGCATTTTGGTAACTTCTGGAAAAGGGGGAAAATCGAAGGCTGTACCCTTTCTGAAATCCCAAACTCCTTCAGTCCTTTGAATGTTGTGAATGGTTCTGTAAATATTACATTTCATTAATCACGAATTAGTCATGTATCTAATTGAAACTGTTGGTTTGAAAACTCAGATTTTGATGGATACGTGCCATATTCAGCACTAGTTCCGTAGATCTCCTTGGCAACTGGGACCAAGAGACACAAGAGCGGCCTGAAATCATGACTGGGTGGTTCAAGGCTTGTGTTCCCGAGGCCGCCCTACTCCAGCCCTCACCTCTCCATGTGTCTCTGTAGCTGTGTCTCTTATTTGAGCCTCAGGTCTGGGGAGAGGCTTGTCCAGTGAGGTGACTGTACTCCTCGGGGATGAAGACCCCCACTTTGGGTCATGCCACGTCGTAGGATGTGGCCGCCCTGTGTTGGCAGGAGCGCCCATTCTGGAATCCTTCACCGCCTCGGGAGTGCTCACGGAGATTCATCTCCAGGGCAGAACCAAAAATACATGAATTTTTAATTGCAGGCTTAGCCTATGTGCGGCATGCCAGGAACACAGCAGGAAAAAACGACTGAGCTCAGAGGCTGCCAAAGAGCCACCTGGAAATGAAGACCCTGTTTCCAGAGAGGGGCAGGGTAGTGATTATCCCTGTTAGTGTTGGAATGAGGACCACGGACCCCCAGAGAGAGTGGCGGTTTTTCATCACTTCCTTTTGGTCACTCATTCTGCTTCTTTTTCCTCCCAGTTTCCCTGAAGCATAATTCATGCACGGAATTTCCAGCAGGACCAGACTGTGGGCTGCTGAGCAGGTTGGCCTCAGAAGCCACTGGGGTGTAGGTAGATGTTTGAAAAGCCACACGTCGATGGTTCCTCTGGGCTTTCTTTAGTAGAGACCCTCTTTTTTGTGAGTGAAGCAGCAGTGGCTGTGACCGGGCAGTCTGAGACGTGGACAGCAGGCCTGTTTTCAACCCTATAGGTCCCTGAGCTGTGCATGTGAAGGTGTCTGGGAACAAGCCGGTCTCTAAACTGGGAAGGGCTGAGACTTTCTCACAGCTCCTCTCTGCCCCTCTGCTTCATGGCAGCAGCCCCTGATGAAACTATAAGCTTTCCACTCTGCTTGGAGTTCCATTTCTGGGCCAGGGATTGCTTCTCAGAGATTCCCAGGTCTCCTGCAGCCTGCCCTAAGAGCTTTCTGACGTCTTTGCTGGAAGGGAGGCTGGGAGCTATGGAGGCAAACTCTCTTCATACCTTCCTGCTCAGACTTGGGACTGACCCAGATGGTCTGTATATCAAGACCAACCTGTCCAACTCCTTTCACCTCTGACACATATCGCGTGTATGTGCTAGGTCATTTCCTTCGCATCCAACTCTGTGCAACCCTCTGGACTGTAGCCTCCCAGGCTCCCCTGTCCGTCACATTCTCTAAGCAAGGATACTGGAGTGGGTTGCCATGCCCTTCTCCAGGGGATCTTCCCAACCTAGGGATCGAAGCCTTGTCTTTTAAGTCTCCTGTATTGGCAGGCCGATTGTTTACTATTATCACCACCCAGGAAGTGACATTAAGAAATGCTTAAGATGTTCTGACCCGAGGCTCTGAAGAAGTGTGCAGTCAGAAACCACAGAGCTTTAGACTTAAAATTCTTAAAGTGATTCTAGTCCAATTTCCCGCTCCTTAGAAACCTCATGTCTCTGAAAGGAGGTCATTCATTTTTTTACTTGAATGCTTCCAGACAGAGACGCTCACTACTGGGTAGACTTCTGGAAGAGATTGTTAGGAAATTCTCCCTGATGTTGAATCACAATCTCATCTTGCTAACTTCCTACATGTAGTTGTGGTTCTGTAAGAGATTTAAATGTTAATTATGCAGTCGGTACTTTTGTCATGAGGCAGGGCACAAGTCTAGGGCTGTGGGGCTATTTCTGCTCTCAAGGAGTTGACAATCAAATCTGAAACACAGAATGCATCAGCACTCCAGTCCAATGAATATAACATAGGAGAGTATGTGAAATCAGGTGGAGGGAAGTTCCTGTGGGTGGCCTAGTTGAAGAAGGCTTCACTGGTGCCCCGTCTTACTGGGGATTGTCCCTGCAGCATTGCCCATCTGTCTGAAAGCAAAGGCCACCTTTTACAGACAAAATTAGCATAGAAGCGGTGGTATGTTTTGGAGCCATCTCTTCTGAAAACAAAATTGAAAGGAAGGAGCATAATTTTGTGGTAGGACTATGAGCAGGAATCAGGACAGGCTGTTCTTTCTGCTGCCACATGACCAATAATTCATGATATCTTTGGAAGAGATAGAAAGGCCTCGTTGAAATAAGGGGACTGTGGAGGAACCCACTCTGGTATTAGGAGGCCTTTGGAAACAGCCACGCCGAAGGGAGCCTCGGTGTTCTGCCCCGCCCCGGTTGGAGGCAGCCGAGCAGGAGGCCTGACGCCCTGCAGCCTCCTCACCCACCTCTTCTCTGATGTGTCTTGGCTCCGTTGCAGGCTCTGGGGCAGTGACCACACTCTGTCTCCTTTAGTCTTTGGCTCCCTGGCTGCTGCGGCGTCTCTGTGTGGGGCTATCTCTCCCGGGTCCTCCTGTCCCACCGTCTCCTGCAGCGTCAGCGCGCCATCCTTGGCCCTGGGAGCCTCTGGTGATCTCCCTAAGTGGTCTCCACTTCGTGGCCTCATCTGTCCTCTGCACGTAGTGGCACGACTTTGCCCTCCCGACTTTCAGACCTGTCTCTCCCAGGCTAGCTGGAAATCTTTACCCTTGTTCTGCAGGCCCTACAGGCGTGGTATCTCCAAACCCAGACTGGTTTCCTTTCTTTGGTAAACGTGTGTGCCTTATCATCATTTATCTTGGCTGACTCTTGTTACTCCGTCTTCTGAGCTGTGACTGCGTTTGGTTCCTTTCTCCGTGCCCGTCCAGACCCGTCACGGAGACCGACTGAGCCTACTCTTCAGTGTCTTTGGGATCTGTCTTTTTGGTCGTCTGGGTTCACTCTTTGTCACGTGTCCCTGAACTGTTCACAGTAGCTTTTGCCTGGACTCCTTTCTCCTGCCTCCTGCCTCGGCAACCCCGTCCTTTAGTCTGAACTCTGTAAAGCCTCAGGTGAGATTTATGCCGCCCTCCGCTCCCCGAGCTGTCTCTTCACAGCCCTGCCTCTGGGCTGCCTTGCTCCCGCCTCTCGCCCCTTGCTCCCATCCCCAGATGACCTGCCTGTCAGACACTCTTGGGTGGTTCTGTCTTGGCCCAAGCCCTCCCTGTCTCTGCCTTGAATGCCAGAGCCCTTTAGCCTCTTCTTTTCTGCTTGGCAAGTTCCTGTTCATCCCTGAGGACTCATCTTAACTGGCATTTTATCTGAAATCTTGTTTTAAAGAAACCCCTCCTTACCCCTGCTACATCAAGGACTTTTTCTCTAGGCTACCAGAGCATTAAGTCACCACACCTTTTGTCAGACTGCACTGGAGAGGTGTGCATGCCTACACACAGGCCAGTGAGGCTGCGGGGCCCGCAAGACCAGGCACTGTCTTAGGTCTGTTCCCCGGGCACCCGGACACGCAGTGTGTGATAGGTGTCTGATAGGATAGGTATTGGTTTATCCGTGGTTACGGGAGTCTAAGCAGGGACTCTCTGATCTGGGCAGTTGGAGTTCAGGCAGTCAGGGTAGCTGGCTTACGGTGACACAGCTCTCCTGTGAAGAGACCAACATGCAGTGCAGGCCTCTTTGTGCCCCGGGAGGGGTGCTGGGGTTCTCAACCCCGCCACTTTGTCTCTGATTCCAGCTTTTAGTAGCCAAGATTGCTGGCACTCTTTACTTTTTCTGGGCTTTCCTTGTGGCTCAGCTGGTAAAGAACATGCCTGCAATGTGGGAGACCTGGGTTCGATCCCTGGGTTGGGAAGATCCTCTGGAGAAGGGAAAGGCTACCCACTCTAGTATTCTGGCCTGGAGAATTCCATGGACTGTAGAGTGTCCACAGAGTCGGACACGACTGAGCAACTTTCACTTTACTTTTTCTCCTGCCTGTATGTTGCACAGCGATAAAATGGTATTTATTAATATCTACTTTGAAAACATGCTATTGTGTTATACTCCTGTTATAACAGTTTCAGCTACTTGTTATAGATTTATATATGCCATAGATTAAAGACTTTACCAGTGACAGCCCTGGATTTAGTGAAATACAAAAGAGAAAAGGTGGTTTTAATTCATGTCTTTTCAGTCCCCTCACATAAAGAGAAACCTCTGTGTTTCACATAAAGAGAACCAATCTTGGCAGATTGGTTTACACTTAGATGCGAATCCATTAGTCCTTTATATAGATAATTTCGTAGACAAAGGGTCACAAAACTAAGCGATGAAACCTTTCTTCATGTGGATTTTATATTCCTGCAGGGACGAGGGTCTCAGGAAGAGCACTGTGCTTGGAGTCAGGCAATTTGGGTTCTAGCTGTGATCCTTTCATTTGCTTGTGCTTTAATATTTTTCTTAAGTTAAAAATAATAGTTATAAATTACCATACAAAGTATAAGAGTATGAGTTATGTTTAAATTCACCCCTTCCTGACAGACATCTGATGGACATTGTACTGAGAGATGGCGGATGTACCAGCTGGTGTCAGATGGTCCCGCCAGACTTGTGAGTCTGTCATTTACAGGATCCTAACGTGGCCCTGGGGGACACGGGGGAGTGAAGTCGACTGCAGGATTTGCTAGCCATACTTGAGGTGCAGAAAGGCTGTGTTAAAGATACAGCCTTCACACTGGGAACGTCCAAGAATCAGTATAACTAAGTCATGGGTGAGAATGTCAGATGTTCCACTTCCATGCTGTTTCTTTCTTTCAGTTTGAAAAAGAACTTCAGAGAATCTCGGAAGCCTATGAGAGCCTGGTCAAGTCTACCACCAAGCGAGAGTCGCTGGACAAAGCGATGAGGAACAAACTCGAAGGCGAGATTCGAAGGCTCCATGACTTCAACAGAGACCTCCGAGGTACATCACTCATGTCTTCCCTGCCCTAAACACCCTCGCCCCATGTAGCTGACAGTCTAACTTCAGGTCCAGGTTGTGTTAGGTAAGCTTGCAAATCCCAACCTCCTGGGGAAGGGGCCCCAAAGAGCAGAAGTGTTCTTTTCACCTTATAGGTTGTCCAGTGCAACATTGAGGCTGAGAAGCAACAACCTCTAGGCATGAGTCCTTGAAAGGGAGGGAATATGTTTGCAGCTCCTTCTTGCTTCAGATGCACCTAGCATGATTCATGTTATGAATGGGAATGTCTGAAAAGACCAGTGTTGCATGCACAACGCTTACCATATCAAGCTGAAGCATTTGATTGCATTCTTTGAAAGCCAACACTTAACACTTGCTCAGTATATAGTGTAGAAGACAGACACGTGTCCCTCTTGGAGAAAAAACAAACCCACGGTTATGAGAAGAGTAAACATATATCAACTTCCTGAAAGCTCAGGTCCCATGTTGCAGGATCTTGACAACCTCCCATGTGCAGATTGATTTGACCCATGAACTTGTACTTCACTTTAGTCAGCCAAGCCATTTTTTTCAGTTCTCTCATGTCAAAAGACTCAGTGTACTTGGAGTCTGTAGCTGGAACCTACATTTTTTTTTTTTTTATTACTGTAAACCCTTCAGTTTTGGGTATGATATATGCTCAGTAAAACCTTGTTAGGTTGAATTATTTAATTGAGTAAATGAAGACTGACCAAATGGCATGAGCAAACCTAGAACTCACTGAGTAGAGTCTTCATCCATTAAGTCATCTTGACTTGTTTCCTGGTATTTATTTATTTGTTATTTTCAACTTTTTGTTTCCCAGCTGCAGAGAACTGATAGTCAAGTTTAGATGAGGGCTGGGTTTGAGGCCAGGGGGACTCAAGCCCTTTGTGAGGACTTTGCTGGACTTTCAGGTACCTGCTCTTAACTGCCTGCCACTGGTGCATCCCTTGGCATTAGATTGCATAGAGGCACAGAATGGCCACTAGACTTTCCTTTTGATGTTTCGGAACATCTTGTTCCTCCCCAGGAGCTGTTCAGTTTGGGGCTCCTGCCTGGGCAGCTCTCCCTACCAGCTCTCAGCACCCAGATCATTTGTCAGTTGCAGGATGACTGAGATCCACATGCATTTCTTTGTAACCATCTCCTCTCTATGTCCAGATCGACTGGAGACAGCCAACAGACAGCTGTCCAGCAGGGAGTATGACGGACATGAAGACAGGGCGGCCGAGGGGCTTTACGCTTCCCAGAGTGAGTCTCCTTGCTTATCTTTCCCAACTGCATGGTTTTAAAAGCTCGGGGCCTAAGGAGAGAAACCTGCTTATTTTAAGTAAGATTTGTGCTGCTTGCTTTTTGTTTATTAACTTGACATATAAGCTGTTGGGCCAAAGATGAGGCCCTCTTGGGTCTGCCTAAGACAAAGCCGAGATTGTAGTATTTCAGTAATGTTTATTCTGACCTCCTGCCCTTCAGCTTCTAATACCCTCCAAGAAATAGCACTGTTGCAGTATTCCCTGGCATTCACCACCTGAAGTAAGGCATAATTCTTCATCTCCTTCATGGAAAAGGAAGGAGGTCTGTGGTGGGATTCGCTCTTTTGTCATGTTTTGTGTGCGTGTAGGTTGAGCGTTTCTGGACTGGCCGCCCCTGGCAGCATGATATATATAAATGTTCCCAGCATGGGTCTTCATTGGTGATGCTCGATGGTGAACCCAGTGAGCCCATTTCAGCCAGAAATAAAATGGCTTCCTCCGCCCCTAGATTGGGAAATACTCTATTAATTTCACCAGAGGCAAATAATAGAAGCAAATGGGTTTTGAAAAACCATCAATTGAGGCTTGAATTTCTGCAAATTCATTGTCTAAATCAGAAACATAAAAATCCAGCTGTCTTTTTTGGGGAACTGTTTAGAAAATGGAATTCATTTCTCTGTCATAATTCTCAGCAGCACTGAGTTAAGTGCTCACATCTAAAGACAGTTCTAACAGCAAAAAGTCTTGTTTAAACACTGGCCATCCACTGTATAGTGATAGTGTCTTCTGGTGCTTGGATCCCTCAATACAGGTCTACATTTTCAAAGCTGAGAAATACTTGGATACATTTTCTAATTTCCAATACTGTTCTTTGGGGTTAATGTTTCTTCTTTGTTTTTCCCAAATTTACTCACAATTACATTCCACTTTTTCCCAGATTTTCTCATGATCAAACTTCAGCTTGAGTCTCAGTTTCATTTTTAAAACTCTGTTTGGCAAATAGACACTCATACAGTCTTGAGTTTTTTCATTGGATTCCTTTGCATTAGGTGAATTGGCCTGTGCTCCAGACTTATATACAAAGCTATATATATATATATATATATATAAGCCTCTTGAGATATTCACTTTCCTAACAAAAGTTATTTCTACTCATAGATGCAGTGGATTTACCATTTCATCTGAACATCCATTTGACAAATGAGTCATCTGTACTATTAGCACTTAGGATTTTGACACCTTAATTTTTAAAAATTAATTTATATTTTAAATGGAAGATAATTTCTTTACAGTACTGTGATTATTTTTGCCATACATCAGCATAAATCGGCCCAGGTATACATGTTTCCTCCCCATCCTGAACCTCCCACCCATCTGCCTCTCCACCCTATGCCTCTGGGTTTGACACCTTAATTTTGCATGATCATATTCCTCAGTAGAGTAAGGATTCTTGTGCCGTTATGTCAGCAATGTCACTCTGCTGATACTCTGCCTTCTTGTCAGGAGATATTATTTTGTCACGTAGCTCAGGTCAAAATGGAAAAGTCAGTGAGTTTCATCAGATGAGCATTTGCTGTAGCCTCCCAGCCCAGGCTGTGCTGATGGACTAATAGGTTTTGGTGTTGTGTGAGTTCAGAAATATTCCCGACAACTTTAACCTTCTGGCTCAAAGCTAAAGCATCAGTAATGCAGGCAAAGAGGCCCTTCCAGCTTTACAAGGAATGATCTGTTCCGTGCAAATATGTTCTGCTGTTCCAAAGGTATAAACAAGAGAGTCCAGGGGCATTTTTCAACTGCTGAAAGGTGCCTCAGTGTTGACGTGTGATGTAATTGCATCTCGGCAGGGCCTTTGAAGCAGGGTTGCTAACACTGATAGCTAACCAATTTTTCATTACCTAGTCTTTGCAGGACACTTTGTGCCTTCCTCCCAGCTTTATAATTGTTTGCATTAGCTTTTCCTCTCCTGGAGTGGCCAAGAGATGGACTCGAGATGTTATTTCAAGTTTATAAATAGTTTTTTTTTCTTAGTGAGTTGGAAGAACTCTTTATATGAAGGAAATTAGCATGTTTCCTGCCATATATAGTGCAGATATTTTTTCCCCAGTTGTTTTTGTATCTTTGAATACAGTGCCCTTTATCTTATAGATTTTTCAAGTGACTATATTTGTGCCTTCTAGGTTTTAGGTCATGCTTAGAAATTCTTTTTCCACTCCAAAATTATAAACATATTCACCTGTGTTTTCCTCACTTATGTTTATGATTTCATTGTTTGTGAGGCTTATATTTTAGAAGCTAATTAAGGAGGCACAAAAGAAGGGAAATTCATGAAGAACTAATCTGGAGGCAAGGAGACTGGTTAACAGATAATTTTGTATCTGAACTAAGAAGTAATAGTGGAGGGTAGGAGACAGAGCAATAGTTGACAAATGAGAGGACTTGGTGACCAACTGAATGATGCCGGAGAGTGAAAGAAGTGTGACTAGAGCCACTGGATGTGTGGTCATCCTTTACCAATAAAAAGCAGGAGGAGGAGACGTGGGGACTCGGTAACAAGTGGAGGTTTGCACGTGCTTAGTTATCTCCTACTGTGGCCCACAGCTAAGTGAGCAGCTGTAATGGCCAAGGTGCAAACGTAGCCTGGAGGCTGGTGACACGAGGCGCTGTCTGTCAGGCCTTCCTTTTCGCATGTGGGCACAGAATGGCAGGCACAAATCACTCTCTTCACAGTTATTAATGTGTTCCATTATCTGTATAGTCTTTTAGAAAGTCTATTATAAGAATACTTTTCAGTGCCTAGGAATCATAGTTATAAACATGGAGTATACACTCAAGAGGAGCCATGTTTTTCAGATGAGCCTTGCAAGGAGATTCTAATACTTGGCTAAGAGAAAGGTAAAACGGACTGCAAAGCAAATAGCAGTGATGTCTCTGGATCCTGCCTACCAGGAGCTAAGGCTAAGTTGGGAAGGCCCTGATAAGCACCTTGGCCAATGGACAAGTTAGAGGGAAAGGGGAAAATAGAGAATAACATGTTTGAGGGCTTTGCTCCATGTTCCAGTTGAAGCTCAGAGTCCAGGTCCCAGAACACCCAAGGCATTCTTGCAATATGAGCGGTGGGGAGGACCTCTGTAAAGTCCCAACCAGTGGAAGGGGATGTCCTTCCTGGCCTGATTTCCAAGTTTCCCTGCTGCCCAGAGTAGTTTTCCTTTAAAGACAGAACTCTGCTCTTCGTTGGAGCCTGAGAAAGGCCTGGGTGGTCTGCCTGGGTCATTACACATAGCTCTACAAGTTGAAATAAGCATTCAACAGAGTGATAATTGTGCTCCTCTCAGACATGAGATTGTCTGAATTAAAAATCTCTCTGAATGAAGTGCTTAGGAGTTTTAAGACTCGGGAGTGTTTTTCTCTATCACCTCATGATGTTGCATTGTTCTCTTTCGAGGAATTCAAAAATTTGTGTGTGTGTGTTTTCTGATTGTGTGTGTGTGCTCAGTCACTCAGTTGTGTCCAACTCTTTGCGAGTGCATGGTCTGTAGCAATTTCCCAGGCAAGAATCTTAGAGTGATTGGTCATTTCATTCTTCAGGGGATCTTCCCAACCCAGGGATTGAACCTGAGTCTCCTGCATTGGCAGGCAGTTTCTTTACAACAGAGCCACCTAGGAAGCCTTTTTTGGTTTTACTTACTTGTTTTTCCAAATATATTTGCAGCCAAATTACTCCTTAAAAACAGGGCATCTAGCCAATTTCTTTTTTGATCTGGCTGAGTGAAACTGGATACTTTAGCTTTTTTAACTTACTGAGATTCCTGGTTTCCTTATTTACTCATCTGTCTCACACACACACACACACACGGAGCAAACTGAGATTCCTGGTTTCCCCATTTACTCATCTGTCACACACACACACACACACACACACACACACACGGAGCAAACTGAGATTCCTGGTTTCCCCATTTACTCATCTGTCACACACACACACACACACACACACACACACGGAGCAAACATAGACCACTGTCCACAAAAGGAAGTTCCTCAGGAATGTCTGTCATCATTCTTAGCTCTGTCTTGTCAATAAGTGAAATGCGTTATCTGTTTCTTACTGAAAATTAGTAACTCTGCAGAATTTCTATCACTAGTATGTCTGGAGGGGGTTGCCATTTCCTCCTCCAGAGGATCTTCCTGACCCAGGGAGGGAACCTGCATTTCCTGTGTCTCTTACATTGCAGGTGGATTCTTTACTGCTTGAGCCGTCGGGGAAGCCCATACTAGTAGGTCAGAAAGCCAAAAATAAAATATTAGATGTGGGGAAACTAGACTGGCAGAGATCTTATTATATTCTTGAGTGGAGGGGGAGCTGATGAGCTCTGGCAGCTTGTATTATTCCAGGATAAAGCCCAGGTGTGTTACAGGATGGCCAGAGACTTCTCTCCCCATCCGTGCCTTGGGATTCTTTAGGCCTCATGGGTTCAGCATATTTGGTTAAACTGAAGTCTATATAAATTAAATTCTGGCTGTTAAATGTCCCTCTCTAAGAAAAAAAAATATTTTTTGAACATTCATTTATTTGTTTAATAAGTTATGGGTATAAATAAGTTAGGAGTAATTCATAGGATTTAATTTCCTTTATAATCCTCATGGGTTTAAAAATGAACCAAAAAAAAAAAACTGTGGGACCACTGTTTTAAAAATAACAATAATTTTCCATTTTCAATTTGTCTTACAATCATCATCTTATCTTTAAGTCTTACTTTAGATACTTTGATTTCCTGTCTCTTTTATAACATAAAAGAGGCAAAAATAATTTCCTAAAAGAAAATCCGTCTTTTTGTATTTCCTCTAAGGGCTTATGTGAAACAAAGCAGAAATCACAATGACATAAATATTAATTCTGTTGACCCACATAGAGCACGGGGAGTGTATTCTGTATCCTCATCATGTTTCATTACATGCTGTTGTGAGTTTCTATCAGGCTTCATCAGGAAGAAGAGGCTA